CACGGCCAGCCCGAGGCCGGCCTCGAGAGAGCGTGGGGGGGGGGGGGCAGCGAGGCCCGACCCCCTCGGGCCTGACGGGGCGTGGGTGGGGCCGGTTCTTCCTCACCCCGTGCTTGGCCTGCAGCTCGGCCAACCTCTGCTTGCGCAGCGCCTCCAGCTCCTCGTCCGCCATCGTCGCGCCAAGTCCAGGGACCGCGGAGGGGGGCGAGAGAGGCCGCCGAGAGTGAGGGCCGAAAGGAGGGGAGGAGGGGGGGGTTGCTTCTGCTCCCTGACAAGGCCCGCCCCTGCCACTACGCGCCTGCGCGGAACGCGCCCCCCCAGGCAGACCCCGCCAGTCCAACGCCGACGCTAGATGGCTGGCTAAGGCGAAAGCAAACGAGCGCCGACCGGGAGTCCCTTTGAGCTCATTCTTTTCTAGCCAAGGAGGGAAAGTTGGTTTATCTTCTTAAAATGTATACAGTATTGTTCCTCATCTGTTGTTATACGATTATTGGATTATGTATAACATATACATTTACAGAACAAAGTTTGAGTCCAGTGGCACCTTTAAGTTTTATCCAAGGTATAAGCGTCCTTGTGCACACACTTCTTCAGATACAGTGGAACAGAATTTCCTCAACGTCAATCCTTCCGAATCTGTATACATTTACAATCATATCTAGTGTGTGTGGATACATATAATTATAATTGTAAATATATAATTGTATTGTTATTATACATTAAAATATTATTCATTATGATTTCAACAGTAATATTAACTATGTTGTATTAGTGATACTCCTAATTTTATGTTCTTTGACATTAATATTGTAACAAAATTATTATTACTACCAAGAATGTTATTTTAATTATACGAAGAGTAATAATTTAATGTTATTGTTTAATTGATATTATTGTTATTAGCTTTAACAGAGAACCTAAACTGCATCATTGCATGCTTTTTTCTCTCTGTTGTCTTTTTCAGATATGATGTGTACTGTTTTAAAAAACTGGGGTACATCTGCCAGTGCAATGCTGTGCATGTCTACTGCAAAGGAAATCTGTGTTCAAATGTTTACTCTCAAGTACTTGTGAACAAGATTGCACTGTCTTTGTGCAACTGTTAGGATCGGACCTTAGCTTGACTATTGATCATGTATTTGTAACTGTGGTTCTCTGATGTACATAGCTTCACACTGTTATTGTTTACCCCGCTTGAGGTCTTTACTTCTGATTCCCAAGCTTCATCTCCGCACCTGCGGGTACTGTCTATGCGGTCCTCCCCTGACATTCCTGAAAGGGGGGGGGGGGTTTAAGACATGTATGTGTGAACTGTAGATTAGCTGCACTAGCACCACTGTGAAAGGAAGCCTCCTCCACAGAGGCCAGAGAGAACTTCGCCATTTCTAATCCTCATGGCCTTTGGGGGAAGACATAAAATGATAACATCCACACCATCCTGTTTGTACTGTATTAACCTGTCTATGCACTATGTAATCCTGACGTATGAATGAGGGTTGGACCAAAGGTCTTGTAATTCCCAACTTTGTAATATTAATCAGTTCTGCCAAAGAGTTTGACTTTACATCAACTTTCCTGATTTCTCAATAAAGCCTGTTAAAGGAATTATTGCGTCTGAGAGTTCCTGAAGAAGCTGATAGCAACGTAGATAGTCAAAACACTGTTATGGTTTCTCAGGGGTACTGTTTATTTATTGCTGTTTTACACTTTGTTTACTTTGTTTCCACTCCCAGCTTTAGTAGTTACTTCCTGTTCATACACTGCATTCAATTACAATGCTTTTTTAAAAAAGAGCAATTACTGCAGTTGCAAAGAGAAAAACAGTACTAATAGTCACTCATCCCCTCCCTGGAACATAACAGATAATTAAGGATCCCTTTCTAGGGTTGCCAGGTTTACCTGCCCCCCACCCCCACTTGGCAGCCCTATGGAGAAGCACTTTAATGTTTTTGAGCACTTTAATGTTTTAAATTGTATATGATGTTTTAAATTGTACATGATGTTTTAATTGTACTATGGTATTGATGTTTTATTAGCAAGTGTTTTTTCTTGCCTTGTAAGCCGCCCTGAGCCCCATGGGGAAGGGCGGGGTATAAATTTAATAATAAATAAATAAATAAATAAAATTTAAAGAGACAAATGCCTTCTCCAAGACAGCTGGTGGTGGTGGGCTCCTTTGAGAACACATTCAAAGTTAAAGTTGCTTTCTTTCTCTGCTTCCCCCCCCCCCACCTCAAGCCTTCCCAGGGAGGGGAACCCTGGCTAGGGAAGGGAAGACCTATCGTGGAGGTATGCCTCCCCTTCACTTCCCCAGCCACCCTGCCGGGAGCCGCACAACATGTGTTAAAGAGCCGCATGCGGCTCCCGAGCCAGTTTGGCCACCTATGTTCTAGAAACTAGCTTTCTAGAGAAATCCTAAGATCCATGTGGTAACAAATTCTGCACCAGATATTAGATCCTGTTCCCTATTGCTGCCCTGTGGATTTGTTTTTACCATACGAACACTGAAATCCTCAGATTGAAATTTGGATCACGGTGGCTATCTACATCCTCTTACCAGCAGAGGGCGCTCTGGCTCTATCCATATTATTATTTCGCTTTCTAGACCACAAAGCGACAAAACCCATAATTGGGAGTTTTCTGCTACGATGCGGTATGTCCTCCCAGATGAAGCTTTAATCTGTAGCGCTGTAAATTCATGCTCCATTATGCCACCATATGCTTTGATTCTCCTTGAAGATGCTGCGGTAATCTTAGTGTTTCGTTCTGGAATTGTGGCTCAGCATGCTCGACGGCGTATTGTTTTCGTCTTGCGTCTTTTTAAGATTACATCTTAACAAGTCTCTGAACAAGTTTATTTGCAGTGTGCCTTTGAAGGGTGTTGTAATTAATGTCATAAGAAGACTGACGTCACTGGCGGTTGTATGATGAATTTCAGTAGACAGGCAGAACATAACAAGAGCCCTGCTGGGTCAGGCCTAGGGCTTGTCTAGTTCAGCCTTCTGATCCCAGCAACAGCCAGTCAGGTGCCTCAGGGAATCCCAAAAGGAGATATGAAAGCAGCATTTCTGTCCTGTCCTGTAATATTCTGAGCATTTGTGTTCAGAGGTATACTGCCTCTCAACATGGAGGTTCCATTCTGCCGTTGCAGGGATGGAACACTGCAGTGTAGTCCTAAACAGAATTACATCTTTCTAAACGCACTGACGTCTGTCACTCATGGGGGGGGGGGGCTGTGATAGAGCATCTGCTTGGCATCCAGAAGGTCCCAGGTTCAATCCCTGGTGTCTCCAGTTAAAAGGGGCCAGGCAGTAGGTGATGTGAAAGACCTCAGCCCAAGGCCCTGGAGAGCTACTGCCAGTCTGAGTAGACAATACAGACTTTGGTGGACCAAAGGTCTAATTCAGTGTAAGGAAGCTTTCTGTGTTCCGTGAAGGGTGTGGCCCTGTTCAGGATTGCAGTGCTATTCTCCAATTACAAATGCTTCAAAACAAGGATTCGGTGGAAGCTTAGACTAACATTTATTTCTATGTGTGTTTTCATGAGTCAGAGCTCATTTGAAGAAGAAATAAATGTTGTTAGTGTTTAAGAAGAAGAAGAAGAGATTGGATTTATACCCCGCCTTCACTACCAGACCCTCAGAGTGGCTTACAATCTCCTTTCCCTTCCCCTCCCCACAACAGACACCCTGTGAGGTAGGTGGGGCTGAAAGAGCTCTTTCGAGAACTGCTCTTGAGAGAACAGCTATGAGAGAACTTGTGACTGACCCAAGGTCACACCAGCAGCTACATGTGGAAGAGTGGGGAATCAAACCCGTTTCTTCCAGATTAGAGTCCGCGCTTCTAACCACTACACCAAACTGGTGCTGCTAGGCATTTTGTTTTGTTTTGCTACAACAGGCTAATATGGCTATCTGTTTCCAAACACTTTAGCCTTTCCTTGTAGGGAAGGTGCTCCAGGCCCTGTGAGTAGCTCTTCCCTTTGTCTCTTTCCAATGCTATGGCCTTCTCCTTGAGACAGGGCCACTAGATATGTATGCAGTATTCCAAATGCAGTCATAGCACAGACAACATAAAGACATTGTGATACTGGCTCATTTATGTGTCCCTTTCCTAATTCCCAACATTTTGGGGGGGGGGGTTAATTCCCAGCCACTGCATACTGAACTAACTCAGCAGAAAGTTTTTTGAAAGCAAGAATATTAATCACACGGTAGAACGAGCCTTGCAGAAAGCAAATCAGTGTGGCTTCTGCAAAGTCCTGCCTCGCCTAGTCTGCCTCATGCCACACCCTCCAAATATCTTTCCTGGGAAATCACAGAGCCCATCAAAACTTTTCGAAGTCAGGAATTTTTATTCCATTGTCCGTTCTTCTGGAACTACTTACAGTGAATTTCATTTGCCCATTTCATTGCTTCCTTCTGGGGTTCTTTGCAGGCTGCCTTGAATTCCCCCAGCCTCCATAGTTTGAGCCATATACTGGGGAAACTGGGCTGGCAATGTGGGAATTCCTGTGCAAATCCTAAACAGAATTACAGCCCTGGAAGTCAATGAGCTTCAAAAGGTGTGACTCTGCTAAGGACCTCATTGTTTATGATGGTTTGGGGTGTTAGAGATCAACGCCTTCTTTTTTGTTACTAACGGCACCACACAATAAGATTCAAAGCACTGACCATTGGATTCCTGGGCATCTGAGCTTACTCAGAGAGAGAACGCCAGTTTGGTGTAGTGGTTAGGAGCACGGACTCTAATCTGGGAGAATTGGGTTTGATTCCCCACTCCTTCACATGCAACTGCTGGTGTGACCTTGGGTCAGTCACAAGTTCTCTCAGAGCTGTTTTCTCAAGGGCAGTTTTTGAGAGCGCTCTCTCCGCCCCATCTACCTCACAGGGCGTCTGTTGTGGGGAGGGGGAGGGAAAGGGATTGTAAACTGCTCTGAGACTCCTTTGGGGAGTGAAGGGCGGTGTATAAATCCAGTCTCCTCCGTCCTTCTCCTCCTCATCTATGTTAACCAAGGGGATACAAATTGACCTTCAGTTAAGCAAGGCAACAACTTTGTGTTGCTTTCCAGAGAGATGCTTGGAGCAGAATGGCTTTTGCTTGTGCACAGCCAGACAGAATTACGGATTTAGGGCAGCCGCCTGTCTGCGAATTAAAGCCAAGCGGCTTTATCCTGTAGCAGAGCTCCTTCTCTGCCGCAGCACACATCAGGAGCAGCTTGTATTTAATATCTTGGAGCATGTGGGTCAGTGAGACATATGTGCCCTGCGCGGT